GGGGGGGGGGCAGAGAGAGAGAGAGAGAGAGAGAGAGAGAGAGAGAGAGTGTAGTACGTGCATGTAGAGATATGAACGTTTTGTTGAAGATCGACAGGATCGAAGGCCAATTTTTGTAAGAAAAATTTATTAATCAACAATAGAGTATAACAACAGTATTCTCGCATAACAAACCCATAGACATTCTATAAACGAGCTTCTATGTACATCGCTTCATTCATTATTCTTTTTGTTCTTCAACCTTTCTTTTTACATTTGTCTTCTATTATAAATAACATTCCATGGAATGGCGCAGTGTCGATTCACTTTTGACACCGCGCACGTTAATACTTGCACCTTTTAGTTTACTATAATTTATTATTTAGGCGCGACTTTATAACGCTTTATATAGTTAACTATTATTATTAACGTTATTAATCATCGCGAATTGACAGATACTTTATTAGTCTGTATTACACAAGATTTGTGTGAGATTGATAAAACACGGGTCCGGCCCGATTTGAAAATAGATGGACCACAGTTGGCCCAAGTGAAAGAATAAAATTTATTAGGCACATCCTGGTCGAGAGGATACTCGAAGATGGAGACGATGCGATCGTTCCAAATCCTGAGGATATGACGTGATAACAGAGTGTTACGTTGCGTTACCGCATTGATAGGCGGGAGTCATTGAATTAAAAACGTGGAAATAATACCGATCCGATAATGAAATCGAATGATTATCGACTAAAATCTGGCAAGAGTTCATTGGAGGAACTGTTGATCGTAATCGTCACATATCCAGGGGGCATACGTGCGAATAGATAATGATGTTGCCGGACAGACAAATGAGGACACCGAGTGCGACGAGGATGAGGTAGAACTGATACTTGACGGACATTAGGTCTAGATCCGGCGTGGGCGGATCCGAGTCACTTACTTGGGTCATCTCGTCGCGACGCTCTTGTTCCAGAAGATGACGTCTGGCGCGTAGTTCCTTCTGTCGTGATTCCAAGGATGCTATTGCCTCAGCCCATTCTCGCCATTGCGCACCCCACTCTCTCTCTAGTTCTCGTTGAGCACCTTCCAGAGCTTCCCTTCGAGCTGCCCACCTCTCCTCGCGTTCCTCCTGTTCTCTCTGTCAGACATTTTGTGGAACATTTGGTTAAACTTTTGACTTGGGGGTAAGAAACAAGGTGATAATTTACCTTGAAATCTTCTTTTTCCTTTATTAATGCGGCTTTTTGCTGTTCTAGTTCCTCCAGAGCGCGGAGATCTTCGCTCGAGTTTAGGAGATTGTCGCTTGAGGATGAGGCGTGAAGGTCTGATACACTCCAGCTAAGTAAAGATAACCGGGAGAGGTTGACTACGGTCGATTGCAGATTCCCATTTCCTATGCTTCCCTCCTTCCTGAGTTTAGCTGCTTCGACTGGGTCGTTGTAGCGAAACATGTTATTCCTACCCAGGAGGATTATGCACCCTTGGGATAGTCTTGTAGGTTTGTCGACCTGGGCGGTATTGATCCAGCAGTGCAACGAGAGTGGATGGAGTGTCGCGACTCCACCATCGAGTTCTACCACACAGTGTTCAGGCTCCACGTCTGCTCCGGTTAGAACGATGTCCTATGTTATTAAATAAAGAAAAAGTTCCTGAAGGCAATGTCTTTCGAATAGCTTTAGGATTACGTAGACACGGGAAATATGCAAACCTGCGCTGTGGTTGCTTCTTCGGTTCCTACAAGAGTTCTCCCTTCTTTGAGATGGTAAAGTGTCACTCCAGTGCTGAGGAGGTCATCGTCAATGCCAACTAGGTGAGGCATTTCAGAATCGAGCACCACACCTACACCGCTTTTTCTAAGGCCCAGAGCACGTTGTTCCTGAAGAATCTGTTGAGTTTCTCGCCATTTCTCAGCCCACTCCTCCGTCAGCACCTTCTCCTGTTCTTGTTTCTCATGAATCTGTGCCAGAAGCACCTGGGGCGGTCTCTCAACGCTCTGCACCAATTATTAAAAAAAAATATTTATAATGTCTAGCATAGATGGCACTAATCAAAACCATAAAAATTCCAATGTTACTCGCCATGTCTTTCCCAATCAGTGACTTCAGCTTCTGTATCTCCTCCCTAAGTTCACGAATAAGCTTGACATTCGGATCTTCGTTGATCGTCGGCTTGTTGATGATATTCTTTGCCCTGTTCGCGTACCTGAGAGTACTCAAGGTCTCACCATAATTACAATCAGCAGGACTGACCGCAGCAATCATAATAGTCTTCGAATTACCGCCAAGGGAGTCCTTCAGGAGCCAGGTCAGCACGCTGTCACGGTAAGGTATAAAGACGCTGCGCTTCGAGCAATTGGAGTCGCTCGAGCTTAGCTCGGCTAACGCCGATATCACAGAACCTAAAGTCACTAAAGACTTATTGATGTGCGCACCTTCCTTCAACCTTTGACCCGTAGCCCCGGTCGCATTGGCCCTTTCACTGCAAACGTCCAAATACAATCACACCCTTAAGAACCAGACCTAGTTACTGCAATAAGAATATAAAAATGAGTCAATCCAAATCTTTCGATTACCTTCCAGCCAAGTCGACAAGGTGTACCTTCGATACCGTCTCCGAAGGCATATTGCCTGCAGAGAAACCGGCCTGTACAAAAGTTATTGTAAATATCGCGTGGCTTCTACTGCTCACGTCATTCATATTTGTGCTTGCTGTGGTTCTGTGCGTATTACCCCTCACCATACATTCCTACAAAAAAAATCAATATTTAAGAATCCAAAATAAGAAATAGATTAATACCCCTACGGTCCATCTACCTGAATATCCGAATAGTCATATACAAGATGACTGGATAAATCCTGTACGTAAGGCCCTCTTTTAGGATGCTCTCTTACTCTAAGAGAATGTGACTGGGACTGGTCAGGCCTGAGCAAGTCTCTCACTCTCTCATTGTGTATTTCCAAAAATGACACCTCAGTCCTGTAAGACGCACCGCTCTCCTTTCCAGTTGCCATACGAGCGAAGAGTGTCTTACAGATCCGTGGTATTAAGCCTTGAGATTCCTGTAGATCCAAAGTATAAATAAGCTCATTAATAAAATCATCTTAATATCCAGCATCGACAAATAATCTTCTCAATTGCCCTTACCGGTGAACCCATCATCGTAAACGTCTTTCCGGATCCAGTCTGGCCGTAAGCAAAAACACAGGCATTGTAGCCTTCAAAGGCACTTTCTATAACATCCGTACCCAGATCGTAGAAGACCTAAAAGATATTCATAATCAAACTCCTGGTACAGTTTAGTAATTCATTGTTTAAAGAGTGATGGGTAATAGCATGCGGAAAGAAGCATGGCATCCTCCACGTTTCTAGACTCCGTTGGACATGCCCATACATGAGTTACGTATTACGTGTTCCGTATCAGATACTACGTGTTCAGCATCCTTACGTCTACGAGCATACCAATATCTTTCTAACCTAGTCAAACGTCCTATTCGCTATTATTAACACGTAATGGCCGATTGCCGAATGTCAGGTCATTTGCATCCCCACTCAGGTACCTTATACGTACAACTGTACTCTATTATGTCTTATCCGGGGCATCGTACTGAAGTCCTGCACTCGTGTATGGGCATCAATCCAAGATACAGAGCCGTTAACGAATGCCACGTTGTATGACGTTTGAATGAATTAAGAATTTGAACGTAGACAGTTGGAAAATTGTATATCCTTGAAATAAAAAATTCGCACCTCTTCCTGGGAAGCATAATTCTCGTCGTTTGCGTCGAAAGACCAATAGGAATGATCAAAAGTGAAGTCCTTGTACTTCTCTTTGTCTATGTCCCGACAGCTGCCTGGCGTCTGAAAATCAAGCATTATTTATTTCAAGATTCAGTATCTCTGATATACGTATTTTATGTTATGCAGGCTCATTACCTTAAAGGTGATTTTCAAGCTAACAATTAATAAAAACAAGGAGAACTCTAACGATAAACAAAAGTTTGCAAAGTCGTATGATAATCAGAGAAATACAGTGTAACAGTGTGGCGCAATCGTTATTAACCAACGGCCTCAGGGATGTGGTTTCTTATTATTACGTTTAATATGGCACAGTGGTTCTTGAATGTAGAATCATAGACAGTGACAAGTAGATGTTACAAGAGACTGTTATTTTTTTTTAATGAAATGCAAAATCATTTATTCCTTTCTCATATAGAAGAGAATTGCCAGTCTTTGATTATGGTTTGTATGCATAATTCTTGGAAGTTTGACAATAATCTTTATTCATTAAATTTATATAAATAACTACGTATTTTCATGCGCAAAAAGTCACATAAGGTAGATCTGCCTTTGAAACGGGCGAACGTGGACTGTTTGTCATTGTGAGACTGTTTGACAATTCTAAAAGTATAGAATATGACAGACTAACTGGGTCATCGCGCGATAAAATCCATTAGCTGATTTTCACATGATGACAAAGCACAATCGTAATTGTGACAGGTATTAAGGGGTCTCATGGTTATTATCAGTTAAGTCAGTATCTTAATATATATATATATATATATATATATAGTCTCTTTTGGTATGTTCCATAATCGATGAGTTTCTATATACATTCTCTACGGACCAGCTGATACACCCGTACAAGGCGGATTATAGCTTCACGGACTATCGTGTACCAGCCAAAGGACTTTCTCCTGACAGATGACCATTGGAACGTAGAACTCTGAATCGAGGAGGATTTCGTACCGGGAGCAAAGAGTTTAACAAACTAAGACCGTGACGTAACGGGAAACAATAACATCTGATCGTAAAAGAAGTTTTGCTTTGCTGTCCACCACGACTTGATTCTGGTAAAATCTAAGAAATGGCAACAGCGAATAATATTGTTGATACACCCAGAAGCAGTGAGAATATAATTAGTAATGGATAATAATCTTGAATGACGAATGTATTTATATGGAGGAAAATGTCGTAGTATTGAAGATAGGGGAAAAAATATTAGGTATACCTTTGTATTGAAGATTCTTGTTCTTTTCCCATCCATCTGAACAATCAGTTTAGCGTTCATGGCAAGTTCCCTGAAAACAGCAAATAAATATCCTTGGATCAGACAGTATCTATCAACAACATAATAATCATGGTGTCTCGTTCGAAGGAACACGGGATGTAATTTGTTTCACAGGATGGATCCGAAATAAGTGACAGCAGGTGGGAGCACATCACTCTCTCTTTTTCATCTTTATCTCTCTCTTTCTTACTCTCCTTCTTTCTTGCACTTGCTACTCCAGAGTTGATTCGTGTACAAATGATAATCACCTTTTGTTAAAGGGTCGAACCCTCACAGCCACCTTCACCGAAGCCATGATTAATATCAGCGCATGAGACAGAACCAAAAACCGCCTCGTCTGTTATATGATATTTACAACTGTTTTCGAGAATTAATCGCGACACCGCCAATGCACATCGGGGTACCGTGGCGAGCGAAACGTCGCCCGCACTTAACCATCGTCCTCGATTCGCTCACGACAGCCACAGCCGGACGACTGCCAGTGAGCGTGGAGACAAAAAATAATGGATGACGCATGCGCACCAGGCCCATTCCCAAGGCATCTGCACTTGTCCGGATCGACGCTAGCGCGTGGTTCTTGCTTATTCCTACTTTTTGGCGTCGCCGCTCCATGCTTATGGCACCGCAACGGTTAACGTCACGGATAAGCGACAGTACGAAACCAGGAGAAAGAAGGAAGGAAAGAAACAGGTTCCTCTGTATAGACGCCTCTACGATTGGCTGGATGCAGATATGGTGAACGGTGAACAGAGGCCTGGAACCAGTCAGCCACCCAGTCGTATAACCAGCCAGCCAGCCACCCACGCAGGAGTCGTAGCCAGTGCAAACACTTTGCGGTTTCCATAGCTCGTAACCACGATTTAAGGAATTCGATTTGCATTAGTCTCTTCTTTGTTGTTTTCTGTGTTCTCCGTTTCTCTATCCTTCTTTTATTCTACTTTATTAAACCTAGTCATTTTGTGTCACGCTACACTGCGCCATTCTTCTATTTCCTTTTTGGAGTATAAGTAAACGAGGTCTCCAATTTTTCTTCCTGCTCTTACTTCACATTAGATTTACCTAAAACAAAGTGAGATCACCATTCTTGTGCGTCATAACTATCCTTAAGTTTTTAGATGATGAACGATAAGCGATGAATTAATTTCATTATCTATCTATACTTTATTGAATTTAAATGAATTACCAGACAGTTTTTCCATTTTTGAGTACTAATTATCAAGATTGATCCTTATCCATATTTCATGTCTAAGGTTCTCGTGATAAACTACGTCAAACAAGAGTTATCTTGACTGTAAAAAGTTTAAAAGATGCTTATCCTTTGCGGGAAAACAATCGGAAGGATTATTAGATAAGCTTTAATCTTATAAAAATAATTTCTCCATAGGCATGAGGCGTTGCTATAGAAAATACAATGCCAGGGTCACTTTCTTGAACTCAACATCATTAAAACGTATGTCCATAGAACAGGATCATTGATATGACCAATGATTATGGTGAACACTTTTAGAATTGTAAACGTGTACGATTGATTGTGAACGTAAAAGCGGAACCTTGAAAAAAGAAGCTATATAATATGCACAGAGCATTGTGATTCATAGTCAATCGGACTCACTGACGTAATCCTGACTCCACTACTAAAGCGGTCGCGGGGTCATAATGTATAAGAGAGGGTAACGTATACATGTGGCTGGGTTTCTTGATCATGAGTTTAAGAAGCACGTCAGGACGGAATGACGGAGGGCTTCTGTTTCGAGTGACACTTCCTCGAGGCCAAGTACGGTCGGAAGAAACTGAGCATTTACCGTTTACTTCTTTTAACATTTGGCCAGTTTATTATGAGAACGCCGGTCATGTATATGGAAACAGTTGTAAAGCGCTGTATACCTTTCTTCGAAATTTTTAACGTCAGCCAACAAGGTTATACGGAAGATAGTCGGTGCAATGTGAGACTCTAGAATTTCATTCTTTCACATTCGTTAGGCTTTGTCTGTTTACAATAGACGAAGATTTATGCAAAGAAAAACTTGGTAGAGTCTCAGATCCTTTTCTCCTATTCATCCAGGGGTGTCTGTAACATTTATTTTCTTCAAATCAATACACTTATGATAAATATGATAATAAATGCATTTAAATTCATAAGATTTATCCATCTATAGATCGATCTATATAAGTAATAACGAGTTGGGAGCACAAAAAAGCAAAGAGAGATGATTCTCATACTATCTTCATAATAATAATAATAAGCTCTGATTTTCCCCTCTTCCTATTGGATATTTGACGTTGGCGCGAAATTCAAAAGTACTTCATTTGGGTTATCATGGTGCTTTAGTTTCTCTAGACTGTGCTACCATCTCCCGCTGCTAATATTAATCAGAGAATCACGTAAACCTTCTCCCTGTCGGTATTGCAGAGACGACGGTTAGCAGGTAGGGTGAGTCCGGGTTTACAGGCAGCATAGAAGAACCGAGCATCAGTCGGGTAGGAACTGTCGGGCATGTGCGTTGCCCCTGGATTCTCTTAAAACGCCTACAATACGGATAGTGTGTGCGCATAGCCTGACCTACGTATTCCTCGAGTATGTCATCACGCTAGGAACATACTGAACCAACATGTGATTCTGACAGAAAGTACCGCCACCGGCATCGCGTTCGTCCCGAGGCTGTGTTTCCGTGTTAAAAAAGTGTTAAACCAAACCGGATTCCCCGTCTAGGGGTGGATATGTATTGAGCACCGTGTCACGCACATCATGGTTGCTAAGCACTTCACCCAGGGTAAGTCTCCTAACGGTCCTGCCTTTGTCGCAATACTCCAACAACAGATTCCAACCCCTTGTCGTCATTCTCAAGTGAGACTATAAAGAGAGCAAAATTCACATTGGCATCAATTGTACCTGAATTTTAAACTTATTTTCCGTCTTATGTCTCTTTAGCTACTTTTTTTACCTTCCTTGCGAGCTGCTGTTTCTTACCCTCTCTCTGATTTTCTCATGGGGTGTGTACACCTAAGAATGAATACTTCTGAGTGTGGATATACTGGAGCATGATAACAATTTCTGATCCTTCGGACATGAGGATAAGAGATCATGGGATTTACAAACAATAATATTTTTCAATGGGATCTTACATTCAATTTAGTCACGTCAACAAGTATTTCGTCGGTTTAGGTTGGAGTTTAATTGTTCGCACCCTCTTTTCACGAATCCTTGGGGATGCTGTGGGTGTATAAGGGTAGAATGTAGATTGACTATCGGATTATTGTTTCCTCGTAGGATTTTGTCTTGTAATTCATCCGCTACTTTTAGAATTTCCAGTCGATACCGAATTTACAATAAGACCCTGTGTCAGAGTATCATCGTGTCCACAAGCTGCTGCGGTCTCTTTCGTTTTTTCGTCTCTCCCTTTCTCCTCTTCCTATTCTACTCGCACCAATAATCCGCAAAGCCTGGTTAATTCCAACTATACTTCCAATCTACTGGAAAGCATCTGTCAGCGTTCTGATGCAGATCCTTCCTCCAATTAAGGACTGTTGCCACAACGCGATCCGATTGCAAACTATACGTAAGACTAGTCGGCCATCGGTCATATCAAATAAACTGGCTTGACAACAGTTTGCTCTGTGTCGGACTTCCCGATTCGTATTTGAACAATGAAATAACTGACTAGCGAAGAGTTCTCGAGAATGATTGTCACTCCCGCGTGTCGTTACTTCCTCGAAAGCCATTATCTTGCCGACATGATAAACTGGCTAGTATTCACACTTTTTACAAAAACATACATAAGATTCATCGTTTCTGTCATCACTCGCTTGTCCTGGAAGAATCTTCAATTTTTTTAAGTCCTGTAATTAACACATATACCAAATTACGTATTCCGTGGAAGAAAGTAAGACTGACAAAAATTCATGTTAAATTTTTTAAACAGTCCAGGGAACCACCCTCGCGGTAGATAAGGTAGCCATTTATCAGAGAGGGCGAAACGATTGCACTGAACTTTGACCTGTACATTTATTTCGGCCGTGTCATAAGATCCCAGGACGTTCGCCGCCATTTATTCGAGACTCGTAGATGCCGCACGGTTTTTCTGATAATTTTGACCTAGTTTCGTGGCACAAGGAAAACATTGAATATACATTCAAACATCGAATGTGCCTTTGACGTTGACTTTACATGACATGCAAGGTTTTAAAGCAGTCTGAAGTTATCATAACATGCGAGATAAAGACTCTCGCATCGGACTTTCCTCTCCTCTTCTACACGTTATTCCTTCTTTTTCTTCTTTTCTTCGTCGCGGACTCCGTCTTTGTGTACACCATCTGTCGCGTGTAAAGGGGCACGTGTGGCGACTGTGTACGTGCGCGTGCAACGACAGGCTTATAGGTATGCGTGGGTGATGGCGTGTATTTCAAACAGTATTACAAAGGTCCTCAGGACTCGAACGCACGGGAAGTTATTAAAGTGAAATTCCACGTTCCCCAAATGCCACGCCGAGAACATCCGGCGGAGGTTGCGCGTACGTAAACAAGCCGCGACACGATGCCTTTAAAAGGACGACGCTCGAGGACTACCACCAGTTACTCGTACATTATTCGGGTTGAAATTTCAAAAGACGCAATGACTAACTTCTTCGAAACATTTAATTCACCGCCAATACCCGGACTGTACGATTGTTCACGCGTTCTATTTGAATTGGTGCTTGAGATATAACCTAAACCGTGAGTCACTGTCCCCAGCATCCTAGAAGGGTTCCCTGGAATTTTCGTGTCAGCGTGACTCACCAGGTACGATAAACGCGTGACTACGGTCAACCGAATAATCAACCAGACTCCACCTCTCTATCTCCTAGTTAGATACCTATAGCTATAACCATGTCGCGCGTCACCAGTTTACCTGTTACTGGGATCTAGTGACTTTCCCCTAGACGCTTGATCGTTTGCATCGACAAAACGATTTCACCATGGACTTGCATAACCTTGGCAAGATCGGATGAGCTTGTTGGCATTCTTCGTTATGTATGAGTTCAGAGGTTCCTGGGGACGATTAAAGAACTGGCGGGAGGGGTGCGGGGACACAGGGGTTCAAAGGTTGAGGACAACTAGAGGACAGGAGTATGGGTAAGGAGAAAGAGGAGGATGAGGGCTGGTCTCAGATAGGGTAGAAAAGCGCATACGGACGCAACTGTCGACGCAGAGGTCTACATAGCTGAGCAGCGCCAACCCCTCTCGTGCGTACTCCAAATATCAAGGTGGCTATCTTTAAAATGGAACCCCTCCAGATGCAAAGGTCGGCATTTGAATTAGCGCTGGGAATAGTATGGATTGTAATGCACTGGCCCGTGGAAGCGGCGGCTAGGTCGGCCGAGTGCCATTTCGAACTTTCAGCTCACTTCAGCCTCCATGCTCACCCCTATCAAAATCGATATAGTACTTGCATGGCTACTATTGCACGGCCGAACATAACTGCAACCCCTACTGGTTCTACTGTCTACCGTATATCAGAAAACAGTCCAATATATGTATATGTCATTGGAGTTATTTTCTTCTACAAAGTGCAGGCAAAGGTCTCTGCTACCTGATGGACGTGTGAGGTGATCCGTGTAGAATACCAGTAGGTCTACCTGCTTCCTCTAAGGTCACGGTACGATGCCTCTTGTATCCTTGAGCCTCTAGAGTGAGGGGGCTAAGGGACAGAAAAAGATACAAAACTTTTCGGTCTTCCAGTAAAATCGTTCGAGCGACGCAGTCGTGGCGTGAATATGAGAATACCGATTATTGTCGTCGTATCCGTGTTTTGCGTGGTTGGCCTAAGTGCGCCAGGAATTGTTTGTCGAATGCCTGTGCAGTTTGCGGCTGATGACATCTGGGGGTTTAGGTGGGTTTCGATGCGGTGAAGTAGTTGCCTTCCTGCAGTTGCCATAGTCGGAGTCAGGAAACGGATGGCGATCCGACTGCGGCGATAAAGGAACGCGTCGTAGAGCTGCAGAAGGAGATAGAGCGATGCTGAAACTACCGCGGATGAGAAAGAGAATCAGGCGAGGCTGGCAGACAGGAAAAAGAATGTGAACAAGAATGGTGAGCGTGGAGAGGATAACGGGGAGTGGTGCGACGGCGAAGGTGCATCCGTAGACAGGGTGGGTGAGGAGGGAGGGACAGGGGGGGGAGGAAGAAAAAGAATAAGGGTCAGTGTGCGAGGGAGAGAAGGATAGAAAAGGAAAGGATAGATTTAGCACGGGATTAAGTGGGACTGCCTTACAATGGGATTCATGTAAATTTCAAGCAAGCTCAGCACGTTCGCGAACTTTCGTTGGAATATCATCAGGGAACAAGATTGAGTGTCGGTATCTCAGGATGCGTTGCGAATGCGCGAATCATCGACTGCTCAAGTATCATTGTCCTTGGTTACTTGGCGAGGGACATCTGCCGTGCAGGTGCAGGAGACACCTGCGTGTCGATAACCTGAGGGTGTTCCAGGTTCCTTCTCGAAGACTCAATGGAAGCTATTCCTGCCACTACTTTTCCCTACCTGACCTTCGATCTTATTGTCCTCCTTTGGTGTGACACGATTTTTTTCTTTCTTTTACAGGCTCCAGTCCCGAGTTCGGGGTTCCCGACATGACGGTGATCAGCGACATCGACGAGACTGGGATCAATCGAAATCTCCAGGTCCGCTACGAGAGGGACCAGATATATGTATCCTTTTGAAAAAAAATTTTGTACAGGAAGCGGACACATGATTACGGTACCTTTTCTTGGTCTCGATTGGATCTCCCTATACGTATGCATGTAAGGGTTCGGGTGGGTGGCGAACGGGCGAGTCGGCCAGTCTAGGCGCTTCGGTCGGAGTTTCGAGATGGGTACCTTATAACGGAGACACGTATGAATTTTGTAGGGGTGGGGCGTTGCTCCCGGGTTGGTTCGTTGCCATGGAAACAACCCCCAGTCAGCTGGTTTAACCACCCCAGGCCAAACCCATTCATCTCGGGCTCTCGGGCTCCCGTATACCGAGCGAACGACCGACATCGGCCACCATCGCCGTCAGTACCAACACCATTGCCTAGTCGCCTTCCAATCCTTCTGGACTCTTCTATTTTCACCCTTATTGTTCGCCACGACACCGTCCTCCCATTCCTTCGTTATACGATTCTCCTGGAATTACCCGATAAATATGTATGCAGTCTCTATGGGACTTTTATATAGTAGCCAGACTCTCAATAGAATTTTTACATTTTATTTTTTTAATATATTTCAAAATTTGCAAACCCGCTCGTTATACCGCCTTCGGACGCATGCTTGGGTTCGCGTTTCTAATGAAGGAGTTGAGCCGGGACCAGTAGTACGAGAGAGAGAAGGACGGAGCGTATGAAACAGCGAAGAGCGAGAGAAAGGGGATAGTGAGTCTGCAGCACAGTATACTGTGATATATCGTAACCGTGTACCGGGATTTAGGTCATTTCAATGTTCTCATTAGCGACCACTTCCTGTTCCACGATCGGTACCAGCAACCTCACTGGACTCCATCTACGAAAATTCAAATCTGCTAATCACATTGCTTCTCAGCATTGACACACGTGGTATTCCAATTGAATTTCTCTCATGTGGAGTCTCTGGACCGGGCATCGAGATCCTCTCTAATCCCAATAGAACACACACACGTGTTCTGCCAAGCGAGGATTCAACTTTTTGTCGGCTGATGCAAGCCGAAATGGAAAGAAACTTATGGTACACGTGTCAAGCATAATATAGACAGATGGATAAGACCAAAATTTAAAAAAAAAAATAATTTTTATTTCTTCAGGATCAGCATTTACTCGAGTGGACGAAAAAAAAAAAATTTTAATTTTATCGACATCGAACTGGAACCAGCCAGAAATAAGACTGCGCACGTGATTCCGTTTGCTGGGACTGAAAAAGATAACAGGTTTCACAAGGATCAAAAAAGATAGCAAGCTTACCCGTGGCTGTGATTAAATTGATAACACGGCTCTAACAAGAGGGGATTGCCTGCGGATAATTTAACGCGGAGATAATTCGATATCCCGAAAGTGATCCGAAGCAGCAGCAGTATGCCCGTCCTGCTTTCGAATAGGGTGGAAGACCAATACATGAACGGAGAACCGAACATGCTGAACGATGACGAGGATGGGGCTGAGGTACACGTACCACTACGTCTAGGAAGCCGCTAACTGGCCGCTCTCATTAACCTATTGCTGGCAAAGCGCTCTTATCAAGCTTCGGCCGCTTTCGACGAGTCAAGCCTTTTGCACAGCCAACGTGTCAACGCTCTAGCAGTAGCTATCCAGCTACTAGTTACTATCTTCACCACCTGCAGCAGCGCCCTTTGAAACGAGGGATGACGCGAAGCCCGACAACTATATATTCCCTGTTTGCAGAACCGTCGACGTGCGGAAATTGGGCCGCGGGAAATTGTCGAGATCACAGCCAGGAAGCCCCGTGCTAGGGGATGAAAGTGAAACGAGGTAGAAACGGAGACGAAGAGTTCCAAAGGGGGGCCAGAGGACACTGAGAGGGTCGGGAAGGAGGCGGTAGCGGAAGTGGCAGTTGATGGACGAAACGGGGACAGGAAGCCGTCCTTGGAGTTTCGTTGAAATTACTAAGCACTGGCGCACCCACCTATTCTACGTCACTGTATAGTTTCGAAAAATTGTTACGAGTCATACCAGAGAATCGTGATGATTTTCATCGGTGTGAAAAATGCCTTCAGCGCCCCCTTCTTTGTCTTCTCGTTCTCTTCGTCTCTCTTGCGAATCGCGAGAGCCATCGAAGCGTCGAGAGCTAAACGTTTCTTTCTCCTCGAGGGTTACCCTGTGCCATAGCTGGAACAGTTATAGGTATATTACCCCCTTGGTTCACGGTATACCACCATGAGTCATCATCTCGCTACCCTAAATGTGACGTCATGCGGCGCTCTGGCGTCCCCGCTGAATGCAAGTCAACGTTGCATTATACAAGGGCGTCGTACCTCTCATCTTTTCTCCTACTTTACGTTTCGTTTCCATGTATATTTATCTGTATTATTTTTCCGCGTGTCCTGAAGTAATTAAAAAATTATTTTTTAAGGGAAAAAAAAAATTATTCCTTAACTCAATTATCAATGATACAGACATACACGGGGTCCATACTGATAGCTGTGAATCCCTACAAGGAAGTCGACTACTACACTATGGTAAGTCAAAATATAAATGGAGTTGTCATCCTGACTCTAATAACAATTCGCATAATCGGCGCTAGGCCTATCAGCGCGTTAAGCGCCAGAGGCCCACGCGTTTCCGGTGGCCGTCGTAAACCGGAAACATTATCAAGGGAATAGTAAATATCAGATATAGGAACCTTCGTGTGGAACGTAAAATTAAAAATATTATACCCGGCGCGCGCCGCTCGTTTTCATTTTCTTTCGTCTCTAGATATACCAGGTGGCTCGTCATACCGTAAGGACGTATCGAAATATTTGACGCTTCCATATATATCGACAATGGCTGGATATTTCTGCTTTTGCGATGTTGACGTAGAATATTCTTAAATATTTCGCAGGGATGTTCCAAGCTGCTGTATCAGAAGTAATAATGGAGCCAGAAGTTAATATACTATCGTATCGTTAGGAATGGAAAGGAAACGAATGGCAAGGCAGGACGCTTTTATCATAAAGGTTTGCAAACCTGCGGCATGAAAACAGGAAACGCATACCACGATGGGCTTTCATGGAGATATCGCAAACCGACAACTGCTTTCAAGGCTTTTTTTCTCATCGGAAACGACAGAGCTTAGAAATCCTTTGCCTTCTGCGTACTCTTAGTCAACATTATCGAGACTACGACGTTCTGTCTATACCATATATATATATATATATATATATATATATATATTAACATGATTTTTTATCTATATTGAAACTATCTTCTGGAATTTTCGTTCTCTGGTTTATCAGCTTGTATCTCATATTTTTTTTTAACCACGAATTCCAATCCTCTAATTGCCGGCAGAGATACCCAAGCAGAAATACCTTCTAGACTCTACCGCGTAATACATACCAGCAACTACTCCATTAGTCAAAACACTGACGAGACTGTGTAAAAGTAAAGATACAAAAAAAAAAAGTAAAAAATAACGATAGTACGCAGACAAATAAGTACACAAAAGTTACAATCGATTATTCAATAAATTCTTTTATACCCTTGCTTTAAGTTCCGAGACCTGCCGTGTAAAAAAAAAAGTAACCTCACTTTTAGCAATCGCGTGCAGTTTTAACGTGCACGATATAAGAGAAGCAGCGAGGGCGTCACGACGTCTTAAAGGTACCGTTAGGGCGCAGCCTGTAACTATTTCGGGACTGGTTCGGTTTCCCATAACACGTAGACGTAAATAAAACGTCGACAAGTATTCAGAGGCCGTATGGTCACCCGTGAGTCCTGAAGTCTGTGTAAGTCGTTAAAACGATAAATATTCCAATTTTGTTTTACAAAAAAAAAAAAAAATTGAAACCTCGAATTACAAGACTATCAGGGATGTACCAATCTTCTCGGTCTGTCATTCGGACGTCCTCCACGTGCATCGGCTTATTTTGACACGCGTGACAGCTCCTAGGGGCTCCAGGTCGAAATAAGATTCGGCAGGGCACTAAAGGGGCGGCTCGCTTCTCCCGCGCATCCCCGGTATTGATCGGTCCCGGAGCGCACATCCGATTCGGAGACTCCTGGTGCCGTAGAAGCCGCCGTCGTCCGTAGTCTTTCGACGCCGGAGCATCTCTTTCGAATGCCTATTTTCACAAGCATCTAAGGCTTGTCAGCAGCCTCCTGGAACATGCGTTATCTATTTCTGGTCTTAGGCTTGAATGTAGGTACACAATGTGTGTATATATATATATATATATATATATATACTACCTGGCTATAACGGAAACCTGTACGTCATCGAACTGACACAACTCCTGGTGTTGATCGCGGTCGAGTTCCTACAATTTTCCACCCTCTCGATCAGGTCGTTCCCGTGTGGCGGTAACAAGGCTGACCCACTAACGAAATGGGCCGTGATGTCGTTTCCAACCCCTCGCGGCTTGAAGAACGGGACTCGAAGTCCTTTTTTTTTTTTCTTTTCTCACGGCATTTAAATCTCACTGCAATCCCGGACGAAGTGTGTGCACGCCGACTCGTGTATTTAATTATGAGATCTTGCCTGACGTAGAATTCAAATTTTCATTTGTCAAAGAACTCTTGGCCGAACGCTATTGCCGTTGGTACCTTATCGTTTGGGTGTCTGGCTCGGGCCTATCGCTTTTGAAAATTCTATAGGCGCCTGGAGCCTAGACACGTTCGTGTTATTTTTGTACATCCATTTACCACGATAGAGGTCTAAAATCGTCCTATCTTCGGTTTCATGGCTTGAGACAGGATGAAAGATTATTCCTTGCGAAGATTACACGGGGTTATGTTTTCTGAGGACCGGGAACGCCCTCGTATTGGATATAAAAAGTTATGACGTCCATGATAAACATTTTTTTCTGCTCTCGCGATATCTTTGGATAACAAAAACATTGTGATGGTAGTGCAGTACGCTTTGTTGTCGCCCTTCCTTTTTATCGGTGTACTCTATGACGACAAGGTAGATAAAGGTAAATGGAGCAAAAAAAAACATAGCCAGTCGAATCTGTCATTTATTAACCCAAAGCGTCCTGAAAGTCAAAATTCCATCCAGCATCCGTTCCAACAAGCCGAAATCTGTGCTCGTCTCGAATCTTCCCTTCTTCGCAGTAGATAGGAGCAGCCATCGTGTCCCGGAAACGTCAAAGGTTGACGTAACCACGTGTCGACACTCTTCAGCCTCTCATGCGTATTTAGGGACGCTTTTGAAATTGAGTTTAAGAGTCGGTGAGTTCACGAGGCTGTCTTCACTTATTGAAGTGAATTTTGAGAAGAAAAAAATGAGCTGTTATGTAGTCGATTTTCTTTTTTTATTACAAGCACACCAACCACGGTGACACTATGACAAACCTATAGGTACCTAGTCGAGTGGGATAAAACTAACCTGAAAAATCAATGTTGCGTATATATTATACGTGGCACGCTGTGCCTGTGAACGCAGTGCATAGAATTTATTATTGTAATAGGCATTAGAGCGTCGCGCAGCATAGAAACAGAAGGGTCGCCAATTACGAACTGGGTTGCACTACTTGTGGGCTCAGCTTACTCGATTCACTGGAAGGGGTCGTAAACCCCAGGGTGCAAAGTACGAATGAAACATGCATAGGTGGGTCGTAGGTGGAGGCACGTGTGAGTTTAATTAAAAAATTCTTGCAATCTGAAGGAACGATTGAATGCGACGTTAATTAGGAAGGTGGATTAGCGACGTAGGAAAAGTACGTTAATACTCCTTTTTTTTTTTTTTCTTTTTTCTTTTTTCAGGGATACGTAAATCGGTACCATGGCCAAAAGATGGGTTCGCTGGAGCCACACGTGTTCGCTCTGGCTGAGGCTGCATACAGATCGCTCCAGGACACCGAGAGCAATCAGTCCTGCGTTATCAGCGGGGAGAGTGGAGCTGGGAAGACTGAGACGACCAAGTTCATCTTGCAGTATCTGTGCTCTGTGACGAGTAACGTTGACACCTGGGTAGAACAGCAAATTCTAGAAGCCAATACCATCCTGGAGGCCTTCGGTAAGTTCTTGTTCAGCCTCCTGTTTCGTGGGACGATCTGTTGCGTTGGGTTCGGATGGGGTGTTTTTGAATTTTTGTAAAATCTTATCAAACGCTTTGCTCGCCAGGTAACGCGAAGACCGTGAGGAACGACAACAGCTCCCGCTTCGGGAAGTTCATGCAGGTCTGCTTCGACAGCAAGTGGATGATCAAGGGATGCATAATTCAGGATTATCTTCTGGAACAGAGCAGGATCACTTTTCAGAGTCCTGGTGAGAGGAACTACCATGTGTTCTATCAGCTGGTCGAAGCTGGCACCCGGGACAAGGAATTCGCCGAGCAGTACAAGCTCATGCCCGCCAATCATTACCAGTACCTGAAGCAGTCAGGGTGCGTCAAGATCGATGGTATCACCGATTCAAAGAAATTGGACGCCCTGAGGCTGGCCTTCAACGTTCTCCAAGTGGCGCCCGAAATGTGCGAGGGTATATTTCGCGTACTCTCTGCTATTCTCTGGCTGGGTAATCTCAGCTTCGAGGACGTCGACGGGGAACGTTGCGAATTGACTGTGGAAGATCGTGACATAGTCGCCACCGTTGCTCCACTTCTTGGACTACAGGTGGAGGACCTCACCAGGGTCGTGCTTGTTCGCCAGATTAACGTCCGTGGAAATATTACTGAGATCCCGTTGAAGGTGCAGGAAGCACGAGAGAATAGACACGCTATGGCCAAGGCACTCTACTCCAGGACCTTCGCCTGGCTCATCAATCATATCAACAATTGTACCAATCCGGGACAGGACAGCTCTCGGTTTCTGGGGGTGCTGGATATATTTGGATTTGAGAACTTCTCTGTCAACAGCTTCGAGCAACTTTGCATTAACTATACCAACGAGAAGCTTCACAAATTCTTCAATCATTATGTATTCGCCCTCGAGCAGGAACTTGTATGTATTTTTTTTTTCGTGCTTGATCATGCTAGAGATTAAGGGATAATGTGATTTATCATCGTATAATTTAATTTGATATTATTAATTGTTACAGTATCATCAGGAAGAGATTCAGTACTCTCACATCACGTTCACCGACAACACTCTTTGTTTAGAGCTGATAGAAAAACCTCCGAGATGCGTTCTTAAACTTCTGACAGAGCAGTGTCACATGCCGAAGGGTTCAGACTTGGCATACTTGACTAATCTACATTCGGAATTTGAGAATCACCCTTGTTACGTAAAGGGCGAGGATCGTCGCAAGTGGGAAAAGGAGTTTGGCGTTAAGCACTACGCAGGCTGCGTGACGTACACTGTCCAGGGTTTCGTCGACAAGAACAGAGACGTCCAGCAGGACGTCTTCTTTGACTTCATGTCCAGGAGTACGAACGAGTTTGTCCAAGAGATCACGGTCTATCAGGATTTACTGAGCTGTACTGTAGCCAGAGCATCAGGTGGAGCCACGACGATGTCTAGAGGAACGTCCAAGGGTAAACCTACTCTCTGTGATTCGTTTCGACATCAACTTCAGGCACTGGTGGATGTCCTTCAAGCAACCACACCCTGGTACGCTAGGTGCATTAAGCCCAACATGGAAAAGATGGCCAATAACTATGACGAGAAACTCGTACTGGATCAACTCAAGTATTTAGGGATGCTGGATATTATTCGCATAAGAAAAGAAGGATTTCCAATACATATGCCATTCAGGGACTTTGTCGCAAGATACAGATGCTTGGACAAGGCCAGAACTTCCTCGTCTTGCGATGAGAAGGATGCTGTGAGATGGTTGATCGGTAATCAGGGTATTCCTGACACGGAGTGGCAGATCGGTAGGACGAAGGTATTCCTTAGGAGTTACGTTCACGAGCCGCTAGAGGATTTACGTAACCAGATGGTTACTAGTAATGCTATTGTTATACAAAAGACTTGGCGTGCTTATACAGTTAGAAAGGGTACGTGCCATCGTTTATATACGTCTATATATTATATATTTAATATATATTATATTAATATACATTAAAACGTATTCTATGTGTAGAATATAAAAAGATAAGAGATGCTGCCCTGAAGGTTCAACATGCCTATCGCGGCTGGAAACTACGTATAATGTTCATAAGAAAACGTCGGGCAGCAATTGTTATTCAGTCTCATCTGCGAGGTGTCTTTGCACGGGAGGTGGCTACTGCTCTGCGGGAGATGCGCCGGGTCGATGAGGAGATGAGGAAGAGGGAGAGAATGGAGGAAGAAAGAAGGTTAATGGAGGACAAAAAAACGCTTGAAGAAAGTCAAAGGTACAATCGAAAAGCCGTTTTCTATAGCTCTTCATTTACTGATCCTCTTGTCGCGATACGATGATCGCTCTAGCGGCGACTTAACGTACTTCTCTCCTTTGTCTCTTGTAGCGCGCAATACAACGGTATTGTTGGAATGGAAGCCGGGTAAGTTCGGATGCACTCTGAGGAATGTGTGCTTGGTTCTGCGCGAATTGATTTACATTTAAATGTCTTGAACCTTTGACACTGGCTGATATAATTAACCCTAGGTGCATGAGCGTGGCTGACATTGAATTAAAACAGTGCGAAAGTCATGGGAGATAGAATTTATTTCTTTTTAATGACTTACTTGTTTGGCATATTACAGAAAGGCACAGGAGGAAATCGCAGCGTTGTCTCAAATGGCAGAACAGCTCAACTCGAAGATGGTTGCTTCAGAGTTACAGTCAGTGGACCTGGATAATCTCTTCTCATTCCTGTCGGACGTTCAATCCTCAAAGGGTAATCAGATCATCGAGGAGATCGGCGAGAGGATGGATGAACTCGTAGAGGACCTAGACGTGGAACTCGAAACTGTCCTCCAGCAGGAGATGGAACTGAATTCTCGGCCAGACTCCAAATCTTCCAACATTGGTCCTCAGGACGGTATATCTCAGCAACAACAACAAAGAATTGGCGCTAGTACAGCAGGTGGAAAATTGGGTCAACCAAGTCTTCCAGAACCGACGGAACCACCTCCACCACCACCACCACTTCCTCTACCTCTACCTCTACCTCTAGCCCTTAATGGAGACACTTCAGCCGACGATGGAGAACCTATCTATGAATCTGTTCTGCCTAGAGAAGAGAATGGACCCAGTAGCCCTATAGTTATTAATGGTAACTCTAGCCAGCTGGTGAACGGCGACAGTTGTGGTTCGCCACCACCGGTTCCTACCAGTAAAATCATAAAGGAACCAATAGCCGGAAGTCCACCGTCTAGACCAGACTCAAGGAACTCGAGCGCGCATCATATTCATCACAATCATCATCAAACGGTTTCTCAGCAACAGCTTAATGGGCACGAGCAGCCGCAGCAGCAGCAGCAACAGCCACAACAACAACAACAACCAGCCGAGCGTGAGCAAAGACGTAAATTCCGTGTTGAGCGCAAACTTCAAGAGCTCGAGGACAAGAAGGACGTACAAGATGGCGAAACAATGTACCATGATATTGTGGAATTCGCTCAGAACTACTTCAACAGTCACGAGCGCTCTCCAGAGGGTACAATAATGGCGACCCTCACTCGAAAATCACGTGGTAAGAGTATCGAATTCATCCCCAAGTACGAAATGGTCACGTATTACAAAGGGTCGAGCATACCCAACTCCCATATACATATGTATGATCCCGATAACGTGAACGTGGCGTGTTCGGTATTCCGGGACCTCTGCAAGTACATACGCGGGGAAATGAAGCTCGAACAAGAGATTGCGACAATACAGAGTATAATAGGATATGGAATAGAGCGCGAGGAGTTGAGGGATGAAATTCTGGTGCAGTGTATGCGACAGGCTACGAATAATCCTAACGTCGAGTGGGCTGAGAGGGTTTGGCTACTCTTATGTTTGGCCATAGTCGCATTTCAACCTAGTAAATTGCTGTACAAGTACTTCGTTTCCTTCCTCAAGAAGAATCTGGCTCTAGAGGGAAAACTCAGGCAGTACGTTCAGTGGTGCGTGGACAATTGTAAAAATACCAAGGTGTCCTGTAGGCAATACCCACCCTCGACTGTGGAGATAGCAGCGATGAGGAGATTGGGTACAATAGTCTGTCGATTCTTCTTCCTGGATGGAAGAACCAAGGCTATAGATGTACATCCCACGGATACAGCTGCGGATGCTGCAGCCAAACTAGCAGAAAAATTGGGTCTGAGATCTTTGGAAGGATGGGCTATATATCAGAGCAGACCAGACGGCGAGGAACATGTCAGAGCTCATGATTACCTGTACGACGTAATCGCCGCTTGGGAGGTTAAGCAGTGCAAGTTGAATACGTCACAATCGACTTTCTCAACCTTGAGACGAAGTAATAATCCTACATTAGGCAGCGGAGAGAATCGTTTTGTTTTCAAGAGGAGACTTTTCCGTAATACTCGAGAGCTCTCCCAGGATCCTGTAGAGGTTAACATGCTCTACTCTCAGGCTGTGTACAATGTAGTCAAGTGCGACGACTTCCCCGTCTCGGAGAAGGTTGCGCTCCAATTGGCGGGTCTGCAAGCTCAGGTTGCTCTTGGTGATCCCAAGGATAACGACAGGCTGGATTACTACAGCGAAGTAGATAGCTTTCTGCCTTATCGTATAAGTAGAGCACGTGGGGATGATGTCTGGGTTCCTATAATCGCCCAGGCGCATAAACAGTACGGTGCTGGTAGATCCGAACTGACTGCCAAGGTGCTTTACCTCTCGTGTGTGATGCAGTATCCCTTATACGGCACCACGATGTTCAACGTCACATACAGAGGTTATTGGTCCTATGGGAATCAATTGATACTGGGTATCAATTGCGATGGCTTGATGCTTATCAAACCGGATGACAAGTTTGTCCTATCGGAGTATCGCTATCAGGACGTGGAGAGTATAATGCTCGATCCAAGTGATTCCTTCATAACGTTATCCTTGCTCAGACACAATCCCGACAGTTCTCACAAGTGTTTCGTCTTCGAGACACCTCAGAAGAATGAAATCGGTAGTCTGATCGTGAGTTACTGTCCCGCCCTGGCTGGTTGGATAACGGAAAACGAGGCACCGGTAAAGAAGCTGAAAGGTATCACGAACGAGGATCGGGTCAGGCTTTATCACAACCTCGTGAACTGTCGACGAACTCTCGTGGATTCAGACGCCCTTCGCAAGCCCCAAGATATGGGTGGCGGTTTCCTCAGGAACACTCTAAGAAGACTGTCGAAGCATAGGATAGAGAAGCTTCGTCAGGAACACGGCAGTGCTACAGATCATGGAGAAACCTACAAAGGCTTTCCTTACGCCTATTGGGCTTTCAGCAGGCAGCCCATTCCTCAGAGTCTAACAAAACTGCCTGACCCTGAAGAGCAAATAGCCTTGAGTGTCTTCCAGCTGATCCTAACGTACGCGGGATTAGGGCAAAATGGTGACACTGTACGCCGGGTTGAAGACGAACACGTCAATCTGATTCAGACTGTTATGGAACGTTGCATGCGCAAGGAAACACTTCTGGGAGAATTGTATCTTCAACTGATAAAACAGACTACGGATCATCCTGACCCTAACAGTCGAGTCAACCTGAGGCACTGGGCACTTTTGTCTCTGGCTTGCTCCGTGATACTACCACCGCAGAAGATCATTAGGAAATATTTGATTGCTCATCTAAAGCGATGTGCCACTGATTACGTCACCGAGGAAGGGAAGTACGCGAGGTTCGCTGAGAAGTGTCTTTACAAGACTCAGGGTACTAGGAGAAGGCAATGGCCGCCAAGTAGAGAAGAGATTATGTGCACCATCAATAGGAGGCCTATATACGCCCGATTTCATTTCATGGACGGTCAGTATCACGCGGTTGAGTTTCATCCATCGGCTACAGCTCGAGACGTAATGGAGATTATCAAGGTCAAAATAGGTCTTGAAGAATCAGCGATGGGTGAGTAACTGGTTTTTCTTGTTATTGATTCATTAAGACTTCGTGCTTAACGATGATACTCATAGGGTACGCCATCTACGAGGTACTTGGTTCTTCGGAACGGTCACTGGTACCGGAAGAGAAGATTGCCGACGTGATGTCCAAGTGGGAACGCTACAGAACTGCCAGCACGACTCAACAAGGTCAACAACCTCAGCGGAAACACGCACACCATCTGTTCCTCTTCAAGAAGCATTTGTTCTTGGATCAATATATGAATCTGGACGATCCAGTTGAAAAGGAGCTGTTGTATCATCAGGTCTTGCACGACTTGAGAGCCGATAGGTTCCCCATCACAGAAAAAGAGGCTGTGAGTGTACAACTGAAGAATTCTCAAAATCTTAGAATACAAAATAAGCCTTTCATTGTGTCTCTTCCCTGCAGATGATGCTGACAGCCCTACAAGCTCAGCTAGAGCTCGGGGACTGTCAGGAGAGTTCCGGGGGTCAGGAATACCGTAGTATTGCCGGTCACTGCCTACCGCCCAGACTTGTTCCTAATCTCTGCGTCGAGGGTGTCCTCCAACACCATCAGTCCTTACGTGGAATGACTCCACCGGAAGCTAAGAAGGCCTTCTTGAACCTGATTCAATCATGGCCGCTACATAAGGCCACAATTTTCGACGTGATGCAGTCATTCACCTCCAACTGGCCAAGAGTCCTCTGGCTCGCTGTCGATCAGCAAGGTCTGCACCTCCTGGAGCATCGTTCCAGAAATGCTCTCTGCACTTACGAGTACGGTAGCATCCTGAGCTACAGTCCAGCCGTAAACTGTCTGATGATCATCACAGGAACCGACAAAAAGCAGAGTAAAGTCATATTAACAACTTCTCAGGTGAGCCATGTTACATTTAATGGACGGGAAGTCCCTGTCGTCTGGTATCAAAATCAAAGTGGCACCCTGATCCTCCTCTTCGTCTTCCTGCAGGCCTTCCAGATATCAAATCTAATCCGTGAGTACACGGAAGTGCTACAATCACCGCCGGACGTCCCAAAGAGGGACTCTACGATCGCCCAACAAATAAGTCAGCAACATCCTGCAAATCCGCTTCCCTCTAACACTAATGGCGGCCGGAAATCAAGACCTGCCTCCATGTTACACAGGGGCGCACCGATAATTCAGTCCCAAGCTAGTTAAGTACGAGTTAAATACTCATTAGGTAAACCAATGACCGGCTAATGATGTTTTAGTTGGGGTCATAGGGATTTTTAGATATAACCATAACGAGAGTGGCCTACTGCGCACAAGAATATTTATAAATCGATATACGATTGTCGCAGCACAAAATGCCAAGCCTATTCTGTTCTTTCTTCCAATATTTATTGAAAACTAGGTTACCCGCGTAGGTATGAAGGCGCATGGTCGTTGCGTGAGTTCGAAGGTGCCAGTATAGATGAAAAAGAAATAGAATTTGAAAAGAAAGAAAACGAAGGGAAAGAGTTCTGAAAGATTTAAAAAAAATGTAAACTGCCATTAATTGTCGGGGAATGTGCTGCGCGCGCATCTTTTTATCCTAATAGACCCATAATAATAATAATGATAATGCTAACAATGGGTCCCGTACCAAAGCCGGAGTTTTTTCTCCATTTCTTATTATATTATCGTTACTCAACCACCGTCGTTGTCTTTTCTACGAGTTCTCTCGACATTTTTTATAATAATATAGCCGGGCACAGATATTTCCCGCGTTATACAAAAATCTCACATTCTCATTTTAATATGTATACGTGCGTATACCTCGCACGACTTCCGATATCGCAACCCAGTCCGTGGACCCCGAGACGAATCTATACATCCAAACAATAATTGTCACAATAACCAAGTAAGCTATTACTCGCGACAGTGACTGGCGCAGCATATCACTTCGAATAACTGATATTTAGCAAAAATTGCAGTGAAGCGACCAATCCTCGCCGGACGCTTCTCTTTAGCACTATTTAGATAATCATGCTCGTGCTCGCGTTGTATACCGTTTGATACGCTTAGCAAAAAAAAAAAAATTAATCGCGGCGCGTTGCGTATAGGAAAATCGAATGAAATGCAAGTTAAAGTAAAATTGAGAAAAGCAGAAAAAAATTAATTAACAATTAAATAAAAAAAAAGAAGAATAAGCTTAGTGTGTATCGTCGCGGCTTTTCGTGCGCCGACTCGATGACAGAGAATTTTCGATAATGTAATATCCGTTTAAAAAAAAATAAATAAATGGAAGACGTAAGTGAATGATCTCAAGAATCTCGAAGCTGTGTATTAAGAGATATTTCGCTATATTGATATACGTGCATACGTAATAAGTCAGTACGTAAGTCATTGTGAGAATTATACATAATATTCTATTCGTTTAAGCGTATATTTTACTACGACGGTTGAACGGCTCGATGCGTGCGATTTTGATAGTCAGGTTGATGTGCCCGAGAATCGAAAGAGGAATAAGAAGTAAAAATATTTAAAAAGACAGAGGAAGATCTCCGTACCGATCTGTCAATACAGAAATTCATTTCCCAATGACAATCCTCGTATCCTTCCTTGCTTCGCGTTTATTATAATCCGTTATGACAAATTCAGATAATCCTTTCGAGATACTGTAACTGCGCGTGTAAAACGTACAATAACCGTCGCAAGGTACAACCCTGTACGTCGAAGTACTGAAACCGTGAGACAGTGAATTATTAAAAAGAAAAAATAGTAACCATTACCATCCGTGGTAACGATAATCTGTCGATCGATGCGACTCCGAAATTGCGTCCAGAAATTTATTTTTAAACGGCTGAAGGAAAGGAGAGGGGTAGAATAAGAAAAGCAGAAAAAACAAAAAGCACAGCCCCGCGTTGTCCCGGCACTTCACACGATAATCGAGAGCGCGTGTATATAATACATAGATATACATACTGTAATGTACTCTATGAAAAAGTGAATTCCAAATAGGCTCGTTCGTTTGAACCAATTGTTAACCATCGAAATTCCGACTGCAAAGCAAAAGCTCGCTAGTATATAAGATTATTGCACGATTAAGAGAATATAAAAGAAAGAGAGAGGGTGAGAGAGAGAGAGAGAGAGAGAGAGAGAGAGAGAGAGAGAGAGAGAGAGAGACGCATCGATTGTGATTGAATTTT